TGCCATATACAGAAACCAAATCAAATAGATTAAAGACTTAACGACCTCCAACTATGAAACTACTAAAATAAAACATTGGGTAAATTCTCTAGGACACTGGACTGAGCAAAAATTTGAGAAATACCCCACAAGCTCAGGCAACCAATGGAAAACTGGATAAATCAGATCACATCAAGTTAAAAACTTCTGTACAGCATAGGAAATAAATAACAAAGTGAAAAGACATCCTACAGAATGGAAGAAAACATTTGTAAATTATCTATCTGATGAGGGATTACCCCTTAACCAGAATATGTAAGAAGCTCAAACAACTCAATAGGACAAAGTGTGATAATCCAATTTAAAAATAGGCAAACTATCTGAAAAGACATTTCTCAAAAGAAGGCATACAAATGGCCAACAGTTATATGAAAAGGTGCTCCACATCACTGATCATCAAAGAAATGTAAATCAAAACTACAATGAGATACCATCTCACCCCAGTTAAGATGGCTTTTATCCAAAAGACAAGCAATAAAAAAGCTGCTGAGTATGTGGAGAAAAGGGACCCTTGCGCCCTTGTGCTGGCGGGAATGTAAATTAGCACAAACACAATTTAGAACAGTTTGAAGATTCCTCATAAAATCAAAAATAGATATAATTTATAATAGCTATAATAGCATATAATTACAATAGTTTATAGAGTGCTTAAAATAGTTATCATAAACATAGGCATTACATCATAAGCCTATGAGACTGGTATACTCTTATGCTCATTTTACCAAGAAGTAAACCGAGTCACAGAGGAAATAACTTGCTGATGGCAGAGATGGGATACAAATCCAGACAACCTGGTTCCCCAGGCTCTCTATCTCCCTAATGCATTATATTTCCCCTCTGGATGACCTGGGGTCACCTCTTCACATTCTGATGCATATCTTCATCATTGGTGAAATAAAGGTTTTGAATTACATATCCTCTAAAATCGCCTGTACCTCTAAAAAGTTGATTCCACCTAAAGTGGATTTGGATTTATATGCATAATTAGGATTCTAAAGCAGATGCTGGCAAACTTCCTGTAAACGGCCATGTAATAAGTATTTTATGCTTTACAGCCATGCAGTCTCTCCCAAAACTCTGCCATGCCATTGTAGTAGGAAAATAGCCATGGAGATCAAATAGGTATTATGTTCCAAATAAAACCTTTATCTACAGAAACAGGCAGTGGGCTGGATTTGACTTGCAGGCTGTAGTATGTCGATGTATGTCCAAACTATCATATGTAATAATGGAATGATTAGGCTAGCTTTAGCAAGAACAAATTTAGAAATATTAAACATCACTGTGATAGAAGAGATCTTGACACTCAGGCTTTCACGTTTTCTGCCTTCACAATTACATTATTTGGGACATATGATGTCTATCTGACTCTTGGTTTCTAGGACGACTGTATAGACTCAAATACCAAATTAATCCCTGTCAGTTTTTATAGGTTCAAGATAAGCGAACATTTGCACTCGTTGCTGTATTTCAAAGAGCTACAGTTTGTTATCCAAATCATGATTAGGCTACCAGGATAGTTCATTCAATTCTATCATATGCATGTTATGGTCAAAATAATACTCATGTGCAATAATACACACGCACTCTCATACATACACACACACTCATACACATACATTTCCACAGAATATCTTACACATACACGTTTTAGTTACATTTACTAAATAAAATGTAGTAAACTTTTATCATTTCTAAAAGAACTACAATCTGCAGAAAACATATTTATACCAAGAACATAGGTAATTTCCTCCTTAAGGAAGGCTGAGGGGAAAATCTTGTCTAATGTCTCAATCTCTATTATAACTCTATCTATATAATTTAAAACAACTTTGACATTTCGTTCAGTAACCAGTCTGCTTTATGCCTAGCACTAGAACAGAATTTCTGGGGAATATGAATTAAATGATTTTGCCTCTTTCCTTAAGCCATTTTTACTTAATTTTGATATACAACATTCCCAAAGAAAAAATGTTTACTAATGATATGTATGTTGAATAATAATGCTGGCATTAAATCACAATAATAGCTAAAAAAGCAATTCAAAATTGATTTTGAATTTGCAATATATAAATATTATATAGTCATATTTAGACTATATAATATTTAGCAGTTGAGGATTAAGAAACCTCATATAACTTGGAAGAAGAGAATCCTACGGATTAGAGTACCAGCAATATTTTGGAATTTCATAGTTGCAAGATTCCTTTACTAAACTTGAAGTGGTATGATATTACTTGACTGTGATAACTGAAAAGAACAAAAATAGGAAATATGTAATACAAATGGAAAGATAAATGTAAATGTAAACTCCCACACATCAATAATTATGCAAAATGTAAATGGTCTCAACAATTGAAAGGCATGATATACCAGACTGGGAAAGGAGGGGGTTGTTAGACCCAATTCTATACTGCCTACAATAAAGCCACTTTAAATATAAAGATACATAGGGATTAAAAGTATATTTTGTAAGTCAATGGAAAAAGACCATGCAAATCCTTGATAATAACACAAAAAAAGACAAACACAAACAACAATAAAAATCCCTAACAACAAAACCAAAAACCTGGAGTGGTTATAGTAATATTAAACGAAGTAGACTTCAGAGCAAAGAATAGCACTAGGAACAAAGGCAGTCATTTCCCTAGGATAAAACAGTCAATTCATCAAGAAGATATGACAATCATAAAGGTTATATGTGTAATTATTGAGCTTCAAATACAAGAAGCAAAACTGATAGAAGTGAAAAAAGAAACAGACAAATCCATAAAGTTAATTTCAACATTATTCTCATGATGATTGATAAAACAAGTAGCCAGAAATATCAGGAAAGATACAATTTAAACAATAATGTAAACCAATTTAATCTAATTGAGATTTACAAAACACTTAATGAAAATCATAATATACAATCAGTTTAAGTGCACATAAAACACTTACCAAGACAGATAATATTCTGAAACATAAAAGAAGTTTAAACAAATTTAAAAGGATTAAAATAATATAAAAAAATGTTCCAACCACAATGATATCACAGTAGAAATTAATAACAGAAGTTTACCTGGAAAATTCCAAATTATTTGGAAAATAAATCACAGAATTCTAAAGTAACTCACAGTTCAGAGAATAGAATAAAGGTAAATTAGAAAGTGTTTTCAACTAAATGAAAAAATAGCATATTAAAATCTGTAGATGTAACTAAAGCAGTACTTACAGGGAAACTTTAGTACTGAACACTTATTAAAAAGGATAAGGAACTATTATGAGTAACTTGATGTCAATAATTTGACAATTTAGAAGAAATGAACAAATTCCTTAAATGAAACAAACTACCAAAACTCTCTTAAGAAGAAATCATTTGAATAGACAGATAGCTATGAAATAAATTGAATTTTTAGTTAAGCTTATCACAAGGCTTCACTAGGGAATTCCATCAAACATTGAGGAAAAAAAATACCATTTTATGCACAAACTCTTCCAGAAAATACATGAGAGAGCACTTCAAAATTCATTTTATAAAGCCAGCATTACCCTGCTACAAAAACCAAAACAGGAAAACTACAGATAAATATTCTTTATGATGAGAACACATGGCCACAGAGAGGAACAACACACACTGGGGTCTTTTAGAGGGTGGGGGTCAGAGGAGGGAGAGGATCAGGAAAAATAATGGGTACCAGGCTTGATGAAATAATCTGTATAAGCAAACTCATTAGGATAAACTGGCAGTTACCTATGTGAACTTAAAAGTTTAAAAAATCCTTCATAAACATAAATATAAAAATTCTGAACAAAATTTCAACAAATCAAATCTGACAATATTTTAAAAATGATAAAATCATGACCAGGCAATCTTAGGAAAGCAAGGTTGACTGAGCATTCAAAAATCAACATGTCAATATATTGATAGAAAAAAAGAAAAAAATGATCATTTTTACATAAATTATTTGACAAATCACTTCCCAATACAAAATGTATTCTTGATTTAAAAAAATCTCACATGAAAATAGGAATAGAAGGGATCTTTGTCTACCTGGTTATGGCATCCCTGGGAAACCTACAGCTAACATAATTGCTAATGTTAAAACTCATTAGGATAAACTTGTCAGTTTTTATTTGTAGTATTTATTCTTTTTTGATAAAGTCAGCTTTATTGAGGTGGATTTTACATATAATAAAATTCACCCATTTTTAAGCATACATGTCAAAGTGTTTTTAAAAATGTATATAGTCATATAGCCATCACTACAATTATGATATAAAAGTCTTTTCTTCTATGAAGTTAATCATCTTTCCTCATCTGTTGGCTCCTGGAAACCATGAATATTCTTTCTGCTTTTTCTAGAATTTCTAAATTTTCCTTTTCTAGGATTTCATATACATGAAATCATATAGCATGTACTCTTTTGTGTCTGGCTTATTTCACTCACCAGAATGTTTTTCAGATGTATCAGTGATTTTGTGTGCATCCGTGGCTAGCTGGCTGTATTTATTGCTGAATTGTTGTCCATTTCATGGCTGAACTATAATTTGTTTATCCATTCAACAGCTGAAAGAAACTCAGGTTGATTTCCACTTTGGGCTATTATTAAAAAAGCTGTAATTATTAATCACATTTAAATCTTTACATAGAGATATATTTTCTTTTGGGTAAATACCTAGAAGGGTTATTACCAAGTCCTGTCTGAGTCATACACTGAGTTAAGTGTCTAACTAAAAAAAAAAACAAAACTCAGCTTCCAAAATGGCTATTGTACTTTCCATTCCTACAAGAGACACTGTGCTCCAATTGCTCCACCTCTTACTAACACTGAAATTAGGTTTTTGTTTTATGTATTTTAGTTTTATACATTTTAGTGAGTGTGTAGTGGTTATCTCCTTGTGGATTTAATTTGCATTTCTCTAAAACGAATGGTGATAAGTATCTTTTTGTGTGCTTGTCAACTGTGTATATTTTCTTTGGTGAAGTGTCTGTCCAGATATTTTCTATTTTGTTGTTTGTTCATTCTCTTACTTTTGAATAGTTAGAAATTTTACATATTCTGAATACAAGGTTCTTTACTAGATATGTTCTGCAAATCTCTTATTTTTTTTTTCATTTATTTGAGAGTATATTTGGAGGAGTTTTTTATTTTGAAGAAGTACAAAAAATGTACCAGTTTTTTCTTTTATGGCTTACACTTTATGTGTAAAAAACGCCAGACTAATCAAAGGCCTCAAAGAAATTAGGTATGTTTTATTAACAGATTAGATACTACATTGAAATAATAATTATGTATCATTGCTTTTGGTTTCTATTTATTTTTGCATTTCAATGTCCTCTTATAATTTTTTTCTTTCTAGACTGATCCTTGAAAATTTTAGCTTTTGCCTTATTTTCAAGCTATTCAAGATAATTCCTTGTCAAAATTTGGTAACTCCAGTATCCAAAAAGATAATTCTTCCAAAAGTGAAACCTCAGCTCTTTGATTTCCTTTCTTCACATAATCTCATCCATCTTCTTTCCTCTAGTTACTCATTCTCATGGTCAATCTCAATTTTAACCATTTTACTTAACAATTGTTAGGTCTAATCATTTCACCTTCCTCAATGGAGGGTTCCAAATCAAATAATCTTTCAATACATAAAAACCTACAATCAATGGATCCTATGGACTTTTCACTGTATCATACATATCCACCCTCTTGTCCCCACTTCCCTTTTGATCCAGTTTAAACACTGCAGTCACTATATTATAGAAATTAACTTGCATATAATAGAAACTCCTTGTGCCCTTCCTTGCTTAATATATTGCCTTAGCTAAAGCAAAACCTTGGTTAAACCCAACTTACCACTTACTCCTTGCCAACCCATGCACAGTGTAAGGCAGCTGGAGAAAAACATAAAACTTTGCTGACTCATCTCATGACCAGCAAATCACAATTTCACTGTATTTTCCTATTCCATTCACTCTTGGACAATTATTTCACATACTCTCATCTCCTGAAAACCAACAAAGTTTTTACTATTCAAATTTTTAGCAGATGACCTTGTTTTCTACACCGCTGATTAAAAAACAAAAAAACAAAAAACGTCCACAAATGGCTATCCTATGTCTGTGCCCATTTACTCTGTTTCCTCTTGTTACTTTAAATGCAGTGATCATGCTCCTAGCAAAGGCAAATTCCACCGCTTATTCACTAAATCCCATTCCCCGTTATGTCTATTCATGACATTTACTCTAGCTCTTTCTCTCTACCATCAATTGTTCCTTCTCTACTGCATCATTTCCATCCAAATATAAACATGTTTCCATTTTGCATTTGAAAAACAAAACACATGCACAAAAACAAAAAGCATCTTTTGGTCCCAGTCTGCATTAGTTGCCATTTCTATACTAGTCATTACAGCAATACTCCCAGAGGGAGCAGTTTCTAAAATCTCTCCTCTCAGCATCATTTAAACCCAATCCAATCAAACTTTTGTCCTCACTTACTTAATCAGAACTGCTCTTATCAAGTTTATCACATCTGGAGGTCAATTCTCATTTGTCACCTTGATCACTATTTTTCCATGGTTTTAAAATTATTCATCTCCCCATGCTGACTGTGAACTCTTTGAGATACTGTATGTCATTTATTTTGCTATCTTGAATATTTGAAACATTTCATTATATATGTGTAACCCTTAAAACATATCTGGTTAATGAATAAACAGCAAAATTTAACATCTGAAAATTGGAAATTCAAACAAGAGCACATCATTATTTACTAACCACAAATTTATGTAGAACCTTGTTTGAAAGTTCAGATGAATTTCTGAGGCTTATTTTACCTCCAGAGATATTTTAGGAGAGTATTATGAGGAGACAGAACTTCAAATATGAAATTTTGAAAGTAGATATTCAAATATTTACATATATGAATTTTTTCACAAACCTTTATACATTATGCTCTAACATATATTTTATTGTAATTGAATTCTATAAGCTGCATGAGTTGCCCCTCCACAAATTAGAAATAAAGCCTAAGGACTTATATTTTAAATAATCAAAAATAAAACCAAGGTGTGTGACAGGGTATGCTTGTTCTAAAGGGTACTCTAAAATTAAGTACAAAGATAACTCATAATGATAGCTACACAACCTACTATATTTTAAATTTTCTTTCATCAAACAAATTGCTAGGACATTGTTCATAAGACACTTCCATGTCAAATGAAGATGAAAGCCTTCTAGCTCTAGCTGAAGTTATTTTTTTTTCCAAAATGTAATTGTTAGAATCTCCATCTTACCTCAGTTTCCAATGAAAATCACTAGTGAACATTATAAAATTAAATTATAGTTCATTCTTCTCCATTTGTATTTCCAAGTACTGTGTATGCAATTATAAAAAGAAACAAAGCTGCATAATTCTTAGGATCCATAACAATAACTCAGGAAAAGAATAGGAAGAAATGGAACCATAAACATGTATCACAGCTTCCATGGAACAGCTTTTCAAAATTAAGTTTGAAAGTAGACAAAGCTTGGTATTTTGAGTCATCTGTAACTCTCTTACTTAACTCACATCAGCCAAAGTGAAAGTGCCCAAAATGTCAAATTAACTTGCTCAAATTATTTTTCTCAACTTTACAATGCCCTTTAGGAACACTATTACTGAGAAGCTATTGTTGGCATTTACAGCATAAAACTTGATTTTGGAAGGCTAATATTGCAACAGCCTAAATATTACTAAATTGAAAACTGTACAGTACCAGTTCTTTGATCATGCTAAATGAAAAACTTAGTTTGTGGATGACCCACTTTTAGTTGAAAAGGAAAAAAAAAAAAAAGCAGGGTTAGAGTTAGAATGATTTTATTGGTTGATTTATATTTAGATATAAGAAAAGAATAAAAACTACAACTAAAAAAACTTGTTGAGATAAACTCATGGATTAAAAAGTGAATAATATATTCATGTATTATCTTTCATATATTCAGTGTGAGTATGATATAAAAAACAGACATTCACATACTGTATTAATCTTACTGGTGCAGATACTTCTATTTAAATAAAACAAATCATAGTGTTAGCCATTTAAAATAATTTAGAAATGTATTCTCCTTTATATTTCAAGTTCAGTACAAGTAAAATCTATCACTAAGGAAAATGCATAACAAATAAGAGTAGAATGTTTATCAGCATGAAATAATCAATCTAGCTCTTAAATCAACCATGTAAAGACTTCATTTCAAACGAAGAATTATAAATTGATATAGGTATCAAAAGCAACTCCTAGATAAACAATTACATCCAAGGACAACAATTTTCCTACTACTTGCCATGATAAATAATATCATAGTTCTTCCACATGTAAAAGAAGCAGTCGTGGTTTTGTCTATTTTCCTTTATATATACAGACATAAAGAATGCAAGAAATAACTCTTTTCCTTGTCTTATAGACTTTCTACAGCTAGTCAAAATATTATTTACACTATTGCTTCTCCTTTCCAAACTCACTGGAAAAAATATTTTAATCATCTGAATAAAGAAGGAGATGTACGTTGGGACTAACTTTCTCTTCTTTTTTTTTTGAGACAGAGTCTTGCTCTGTCACCAGGCTGGAGGGCAGGGAGCAATCTCAGCTCACTGCACCCTCCGCCTCCTGGGTTCAAGCAACTCTCCTGCCTCAGCCTCCAGAGTAACTGGGACTACAGGCATGCACCACCATGCCGAGCTAATTTTTATATTTTTAGTAGAGATGGGGTTTCACCATGTTGTCCCAGATACTATCTATTTCTTGATGTCATGATCCACCCGCCTCAGCCTCTCAAAGTGCTGGGATTACAGGCATGAATCTCCGTGCCCAGCCAGCACTAACTCTTAAACATGAATAAGAACTATAAGTAAGCTAGATCTGATTCTATAATAACCTTACAAAACAACAAACTTACAACAATGAATTCACAAATTGAGTTCATACCTACCTAAATATACCATTATATTCAAAACCTCTCAGTATTTATAATGTGTATATTCACAAAGTATATGTTGTTACAGACACAGTCAGAAAACAATCAAGCTCCCCCCAACCCCCCCCCCGCCCCGTTGCCTTTAAAGATAAATAAAACAAAAACTGAAACTGTGTGTCTCATGGTCTATGTGTTCTGCACTCTAATGTCCCGCATGTCTCTCAGCAGCACAGTTCGGTAGTTTTGTTCCAGATTTTCCATGTATTCAAAATAATCACTCACTCGAAACCCATGCAGTGCTTCTTCCTGCCAAAAATTATAAACGGAAAATCATTTACTTGGCTAAGACACACAATTCCAAGTTAATCAATTTTAAATCATTGATACACCATTTATTTTCAGGTATAGATGGGGGCAGGCTGTTTATGTTGCTAGTAAATGTGTAATTTTTTATTTAGTGGGCTTTGTATGTATATGACAGAAAGAAACTATATGTCCCCATCAAATACGGTTTTCTATTTCAAAACCAAAAATGTTTTACAGCTACCAAAAAACACAAAGAGCCTTAGATAAGAAAATCTGCCTAATTTTTTAAATAGTATCATGTTATACAATGGTTGCTCAAATTTGAAAAAGACTCTAAAGTTTACCTACCAAAAGATACTATAATAATGCAAGAAATATCTGTTGCATAAGCTACTGTCCATAAGGCCTCCGGGAATCTGCAGTTCCTAATGTTGTTACTACGTACATCTATACTAATTCAGAACTTAATGGTTAGTGATCCAAATGAGGCACTCAGGAATAAACAGTAAGAACACCCGTTTAACATTTTAGAGTCTTTTAGGGAATTTTATGACTATTCCTCTTAGTACCTCCAAATACTCTCTCTGCAGTACGTACACTCAAGGCAAAACAAAATATGCAGAAAAGTCATCTTTAATTCAGTGTAATTAATATTTATAATGTTAGGAGTTTTGGAGGTTACAAAAAACTTTAGAAAATTCATGCCTTTCAGTTTATAGTTTTTTTTTTTTCCTTTTTATGGCAAGAATTACTGTAACAAGAAAAAAAACAAAAGCAACCCAAAAAGAATAAAAGACAATGTATATCATATACCACCTACTTTCCTAGAGGCAGTTTATAAAGAAGAAACCTCAATATAGAAATAGCTAGGAAAGCATGACTCAATTCTCAATAAGAACAGATGTTTTTAAAGGCTTCAGATATCCCGTGTCACTTACAGGTGGTAGTCATTTACAGCTTGCATAAACGTGGGGTAACTTTATTCTTATTTTGCCATCATTACCAAAAATCTACATAGTTTGAGGGAAAGGTTAGTCAGGACATTCTAAAAAATTATTAATGACTGATTTACAAGGCTGATATTATAGCTGAAGAAATGAAATGGTATTGTTACAAACTTAATACCATTAAGGCTAGAGCAATTACCTTCCAACATAAATATCTGAGCTCTACTCAATATAATTAAGAAATTATTTCATCCCTTCTTTCACTTTTTCATTCACTCATTCATTCTCTTGTTATATGTAAGATTCTTCATTAGCACTGAAGACACGCAGATGAGTAAGAAGAGCCCTGCCCTAAAATGTTGACGGGTGAAGTGTATATCGTGTCTCTGATTTTATGTATAAGTAACTGAATCAAAGGGAATATTTTTATCTTATGAATAGCAGAAATACTGGGTCTTTGTAAGTTCTTGTCCTACCAAAAATATTTCACTTTTTTCTTTGGAGCAAAAATAGGATCAAAGTAAGAACAATCCTACCATTCAAGAACTCACTTTAAACAGTTATTGTTATAGTCATGGAACAATTATGAATTTATCCATTCATTTCATTCAAGTCTTGTGTGACTTGGCTTTGACTATCTCTTCACTAAAACTACCTAAGATGGGGAGGAATTATAGTAATATGTGTTATTCTAACCAGAGAATAAAGATCTAATGGCAGAAGAACTGTTTCAGGATATATACATTATTTTCAAAGGAATATCTATTGTTCATTAAATATGAATTATAACAGGAGATGACAGCACTTCAACAATAGCTCTAATAATTATTTTCTTGGCAGAAAATAAGCAATATCTATTTAACATCTTTTAATTATTGTTTCATTTTAATGAAAATCACTTAGGGGCAGCCATAGTTATAACTCAACTTAAATATATTTTTTCTAAGAATGTATTTTTTGAAATCATGGTTTCCATTTTAAACATTAATTGTAAATGCCCTGATAACTACACCAAAGAGATACTCATAAAAATGACACATAAGACTATTAAGGTACTATTTCATAAGAGAAAAATTGTAATGTACATTTAAAAAGGAATGTTTTCAAATGATAATAGTTCATTACCAAAAATCTGTGGGCCATTTTAGCTCTGAATAAAATTCCAAAATACCTACATTTTACATTTTGTCTTCAAAGTAGAACATTTTCATCTTATCCTAAATATTCTCTAATGGCCTTTTTATTGGATAACTTTTACTTGTAATTACGACCATTTAGACTGCCATCTTATCATTCAAGTTACAACAGACTATTTCCTCAGAATACTGCTTCATTATTATTTCATTTATAGACCAAAGTGTATCAAACTCTACATAAAAATATGAATGCCCCAATTATTTAAATAGCAGACACATTAATTACATAAGGCAACAACAACACTATTCTGCTTTACATTAACAGTGCATTATTTGCTCAATACAATTTTTAATAGATTATTACTAGAGTGATTTAAGTTTTGGTTAGGAAGTTCATTTTGAGCTTATTGCATTTTTTGTTGTATCTAATGCTATTCACCTGGTATGTTTTTAATGATTTTCTGTCTTCATTAATTCTGAGTTTCAAACATTGAATCACCCAAAAGTATTAAAAATTCACATTCTAAACTACAATGTTGGATTATTCAATATTATATAACAGAATATATGTAGTTTCCCTCTCTCATTTGTGTATAGAAGTCCAGTTTCAAATTTCAAATACGCATCTGTCTGTTTTCTTTAACTTTTGAGAGCACGTGATTGAAACAACTGAATCTGGGATATTTATTAAAATACCAGACTAGTCAATGAACACTGGATTTGGATTCAGAACAAAAGAAAGGGTTTCAATTCTCCTATGTTCGTTACTAAATGTATGAATTTGGGTAAGTTTATTGACTCTAAGCCTCAATTTTTTCATGGAGGTTATATCACGTGGTTGCTCTCTGGATTAAATATTCTGAAATCTGAACTCCTTACCATAGCAGCTTAGAGTACCTTGTATGATTTGGTCCCTGTCTCATCTCTTACCTTTCTTTCACCTTGTTCTGGCCACAGTGGTCTTGACACTCTCTAAGTGAGCCAGCTCATTCCTACCTCTGAGATCTTGCACTTGCCTTATTCCCACGTAAGCAGGTTTTTGCCTAGGAAGTCTTTGTATGACTTTTTCCTTTGCATCATTCAGGTATCTCTTTACCCCATCAAGGGTGGTCTTTCCTGGCCTCCTTATCTAACTGGCACCTTAGACTCCTCCACCATGTTTGGTTTCCTTATTACAAATAAAATAAGGTCTATATTACTTAAGATATTATGTATTTATTCATTTATTTGCCTTCCAGGAGAATTTAAGGTCAAGGTGGGCAGAGACATCCTGGCCTGTGACAAAAAACAGTACTTGGCTCATAGCTGTTGCACAACAAATAGTTGAATAAGTCAATGAGTAAATGAGGAATACCTGTAAAGCCCTTTGCTCACTGTGTGGCATACAATAAGCACTGAAGATATTAATAGCGGTCACAGATAACGAGAACATGTTTTTATTACTGATGGTCTTTGAAACTGCTCTGCTATAGTTTCTTGATCACACTACAGACATATGATATTAGGCATGGGTGGGCCTATCAAGGATTACTGACTCCAGTCTCTGCTCATCAACCCCTTGCCAGAAATATAAGGAAACCATTTATTTAAAATATTAGGATGTTACTGACTTTTCTCACAACTTCACAAATGTGCCTATTTTGGAAAGAAAGATATACCAATATCTTCAAAAGTTATTTGTATCAGCTGATGTTTGCAAAAATACTGCAGATATTAATTTTTAGCAGAATTTTTTTTTTAGAACTACTGCAAGCCCTGTGGGCTTAAAATATAAACTGAAGATAAGGCCTTTTATAGTAGTAAACAGATAAAAGGCACAAAAAGATCAAGTGGACTAACACAGTATACCCTGGTTTATTCTTTCCCAAAGATTTAATTATTAATGCCCTTGCGAAATGATGATTTTTTAAATCTAACAACTCTATAAATTATGGAGAAAAAAGGATAAGGTAAGTTACTTTGTGTAGGTTAAACTGGAAGAGTTGACTTTTTTTTTTTTTTTTTTGAGACCGAGTTTCGCTCTTGTTACCCAGGCTGGAGTGCAATGGCGCGATCTCAGCTCACTGCAACCTCCGCCTTCTGGATTCAGGCAATTCTCCTGCCTCAGTCTCCCGAGTAGCTGAGATTACAGGCACGCGCCACCATGCCCAGCTAATTTTTTGTATTTTTAGTAGAGACGGGGTTTCACCATGTTGACCAGGATGGTCTCGATCTCTCGACCTCGTGATCCACCCGTCTCGGCCTCCCAAAGTGCTGGGATTACAGGTTTGAGCCACCGCGCCCGGCCGAGTTGACTTTTATTAATAACATTATGAGGCATGTAGAATAAAAAATTACCACAAAAGGTGTAGAACTTAATAAGTTACTTAAAGATTTGCATTAATGTCAAATCTCATACAGAAAGCTCTTGAGAGAAGGAGGATTTATGAATATAGTTGTCTCTACCCTTACTGGAGATCATCTTTTTATGTGTTGTGTCTTACCTATCACATATACATATATATGTGTGTTTATATATTATATATATATACGTGTGTGTGTGTGTGTGTGTGTGTGTGTGTGTGTGTCTGTATGTAATCTTCTTGATCAAAGTGATAGAAACAGAAACAACCTTTAAGCAATGTTTCTTCCAGTGTCTTCCTTCTGGAGTGGTCCATAAAATTACAAACTCCTGAATGCAATCCCTAAAATTTTCAAATCCTTGGCACTGGCATTCTGGATTCTGATTACTAAGTTCCAAACATCACAGTTTTATGTATTCTAAAGGCTTTCAAGCTACTTGAGATTTTCTGCTACAATCTGACAACTCATGTCTCTGCCACGTAAATTCTGATTTAACAGGTCTGGGAAGGAGTCTCAATACATTAATTTTCATAAGTACCCTAAGTGATCCTTAAGATCAGGGAGTTTAGATAGTGTTTGTGGTTCTGGATAGAATGTGAAGCTCTTACAGATTCAGGACAGAGTATGTGGTTCTTGAAGATTTGAACTCATCTGAAGGTTACTTGGACATATGTGATTGTACTAGAGACATGACTTAGTCTTGGCCAGGTTAATGAGGAAATAGGTCCTGATCAGAAACAGTATAAGAGGATATTTCTGACCAAGGTGTGAAGGTAATGTCATTGACAGGTATTACTATGATATGATACATTAAGAAGTCTCAGAAGCTGGAGAAAACTGGTAGCTACACCATAGTCTAGCTATGCACTCAGAAAATTTCCTGTTTCCTTTGCTTGTATTCTCTACATGTTTTCTTCTGTTAACAAAGAAATATAAAGAAAAGAGGGATAGCAGAGGGATGCAGAAACTTAATAATTGCTAAGTTTTTTTAAGCACTTACTATATGCCAGATAATAGTCTAAAAGTATTTTACAAATATCATCTCATTTTAGTCTCCAACAGCCATATGTGATGAAGAGGTTAGCATAAAAGTTGAAGCAATGCACCTGAGCTCACACAGTGAGTGACAAAGTTAGAATTTGAAACCAGGTAGAAGCAAGTGAAACAAGGACAATGCAGAAAACATCTGCAAAACACAGTTGACACTGTGCTGAATACCTTTAACATATTTGCTCAGAGAGTGAACTGTTTTTACTATTATGTATACTTTTATCTTATAAAATCTTAGTATTCAATCAGATTTTCTCAGTCTGATCTTCATTCCTTACTCTGTCAACATCCTCTGGTAATAGCAGCTGCAATGGCACCAACAAAAAATCCCTCCTGACAATTTACTAATTGGGTTGAAATTAATCTGATTTTTTTCATAATTATAAATTCATTTTGTCATAATATGCAAGATTTAGTTGAAGCATTTTAATTACTTATTTGGAACCTTCAGAGCCTGATTTTTACAGAAAGGCAATCTTTTTCTAGGTTGGTATTTCAGTGAAGTTTGTCCCCATGTTGAATTCCCAAACTAAAGCCAAGATTGCTGACAGCCTATTAGCATGTTAGAGAAAAATACAATACAGTTAGCTAAAACACTAGGACATCTACATATGAACTATTATTAAACTAAACTGTCACTAAACCCGTGTGTGTGTGTGTGTGTGTGTGTGTGTGCTACAGATGAGTCGAAAGAATGAAGAAAGAATGAACTTAAGACTCTCTGGCTTGCTGGGATATTACAGACTATTTACTTTGTTGGATGTTTTTCTCCTTGGAATTATAATATCTAGACTTTCTGAACCATCATCCGTCACAGATAAAAATGTTCAGAATTCTGGGTTCAAGGACTGAGCTGTTTCTTCAGCGTATCTTCAGAGGCTGCCTTCTAGCTCAGTACTAGTCCATTAATCACCACAGTGTGAAAATGATGCACTTAACTGTTCTAATATCCAGCCTACATTCTTGTGTCTACAGGGATACTGTGCAACAATCAGACAGTATTTTGCTGATATTAACTTAAACCCATGGCATTCACATAATCTAGTATTTCAGTAGTTCAATCTAAAGAGCAAAAACAAGTTTTTCTTTCCCCCATAAGCCTGTTCTGCTTATTAGTGTTCATGCTATCTTCTGATCTAAGAAATTCTAACTTATCTTTTTAATATATTGATTTAGAATCATGAAGAACTCTTTAGTGAGCTATTAGAATTGTAGGCAATGAGTCTATACTCTTAATTACCAGATTTAAAATCTTGAATTTAAACCAAAGTGACTACAAATGGACTGATTTTTTCTCAATATTTAAAACTGCACACAGATTTTTATTTCTAAAATAATGCTTTTATCATGTTACTTTCTCTCAATATATGAAACTTAAATCAGGAAAAGAATTGCTTATCTTCAGTTTCTCAAGATAACTGATAATAACTGAAAGCATAACATATTTGTGGTTTTCAATATTTTGAAAATGAATTCAATTAGGCCCAATTATTTGACCTCATTTATAACAGTCAGAGGATTGATCTATTTATTTTTATATAATTATTCGATTTCTTCTTAAAAATAGTTTTATGTTAAAAGAAGTATGAGCTCATTCCTCCCACATAAATATATACAATGAAAAGTAAAAGTCTCTAGTTCTACTTTATCTTCATTCTTCCTGGAAGCAATCATTATGAAATATGTAGAGCCAGGGAATAATGTGATTAAATGATCTATACAATAATATTATTATGGCTGTGGTATGCAAGACAGGGTTTTGTTCTGCCACCCAGGCTGGCTTGCAGTGGTACGATCATGGCTCACTGTAGCCTCGACCTCCTAGGTTCAATTGATCCTCCCACTTCAGCCTCCTCAGCAGCTGGGCCTACAGGTGCATGCCACAATACCCAGCTAATTTTTGTACTTTTTGTTTTTTTGGTAGAGATGAGATTTTGCCATGTTGCCAGGCTGATCTCAAACTCCTGGGTTCAAGCTCTCCACTCACTTTGACCTCCCAAGATGCTGGGATTACAGGTGTAAGCCACTGCACCCTGCCTATATGAAGAATTATTAAGTCTTTTCTCCCTTTGTACAAATCTGAGATTTTGAATAAGAAAGTGTAAAACATAATTTCCAAGGTTCAATCTCTATAGCTACAGTTGAATGAGGAATTCTTAAATCATGTGACTATTTTTGACAGGGGATGTTTCTAGAATAGGCAAAATAAAATCAATTCATTAATCAATACTTCATTATTAGTATTACATGAATAAGTGAAAAATGCTGTACATATATATATATATATGTACTTTGTTATCTATTTCAGGGCCAAATGGAGTAATTAAAAAAATGTGTAAATATATATTTAAATAAACTATAGCAGAGTTTATCTTACAGGAAAAATGAATGCCCATTAAAAGAAAACAGTGAATTTTGACACCTACCCACTGAAAATAAAACAACAAAAAAAGTCAAGTCATGGTATCAATCGAAAAAGCATTTTTCTTAATCTCTCAGATAAATGAAAACAAGGGTAAAAAGTAAGGTTAGTTCTAGAACACATGCTAAAATTAATTCCTTGCCTACATGTTTTTAGTTTAGCTTTAACCCAACACTGTTCAAATTTTAGTAATTTAACAGAGACTTAGGTCATAATCTCCTCCCCCCATTTAAAATCCTCTAGTTTTAAATTGATGGTATTATGCCAAAAACACAATGGAGAACGGTTTGGGACACATTTAGAGGTTACCATTTACAAACTCTGTTATAATTTTTCCTGCAAATAGTCAAAAGAGAGATAAACTATAAGTCAGCACTAATCAAATGTAAAGACAATGAAATTTAAAGACACTCTTGATAGAAAGAAAAATAAGTGGTAAGCTTTTAAAGAATTTAGTAATGTTTGTTATTTGATGTGAAATGAAGTTTATTCTCTTTCCCTTAATTTATTTACATTATTTACTTAACACTATCAACAAATATGTATTAAATACCTACTACCTGCCAGGTACTATCTGACATATTGTTGAAAATACATCAGTAAACAAAATAGGCCAAGTCACAGTCCTTATAGAGCTTACACATTTTGCCAGGTAAGACAGACAAAAACATATATAAAATAATTTCAGATGGTAATGAAAATTGTAAGAGAAACTAAAGAGGAATAAGATGTTGGAGAATTACAGGTTAGGGGGATATTCAGACAGATATGAGTACAGGAAAATTTCAGACTCTGAAATTCCTATAACTGACCACTATAGATGATGAAAATGTTTCTTACTGAAAAGAAACCTAAATTTTATATTCAACCTAATTTCAATTTGCTTAACACTTCCTGTATTCCAAATCACCTCTTAGAGAGTATCTTTTATTTTTCTATCTTAACTTTTCTTCTACAATATGTAGTCACTTGTCTCATCATTCTTTTTCATTAAGAATGTTTCTAAGATTATACTTTTAGTGATATATATTGAAAGTTTAAAACCTTTTGAATTCAGAATTTATGAAATAAAAATTCTTAATAATTTGGCAATCTTAAATAATCAGTGGCATTTATTTAAAGAAAAACATTGTTAAATGGAAAATAACCCTGGCAAGTACTTAATGGTAATTTAATTTACATAGAAACTGTATTGACCTACAGAAAGCCTAGCAAATGATGAATGTTGTTTTCATATGTATTCCTGTGGGATGGCAAAGGTAGTAAAGATAAGAAAAACATTTTAAGTTCGAAGATTTTTAACTTTAAACAAATAGCTGGATTTCCACCAAGAAATGCACACTGATATGTATTTATATCTCATGGACTTTCTAAACTCCCCAGCTTCCAAGTCACATTATTGTAATTGACAAAGTAACTCTATCTTGTTTAAAAATAGTAACAGATTTGGTGTTAATGTTTTAAAACGAGTGATATGATAAAATAGCCTTTCATAAAAATCTTTTATAAACATAGATGTTTAGAAAAATATTATAAAAATATAAAAGCATAGGAAATTCTTATTAAATATGTTTACAAAGTATCCAACCTCTGTACTCACACAATAAATTAAACTTTTATTGACCAAATAACCCATAGGAATATTTTTTAAATATTTCTTTTTTGGTACAGCACATGGGTTACAAGTAAAGTGTTGGATCCAGACAGCTTATTTCATATCCCAGTTTCACTTTAGCTACACCGTTTGAGGCAACATAATTTTATGCCTCAGTTTACTCACCTCTAAAATGGGGATAATAGTACCTATCTTAAAGCACTGGTTTTTAGGATTGGATGAGTGCCTAGAAAAGTATCTAATATTAAGCAACCAAAGTTAGCTATTAACTCAACATTTTTCTCTATATAAACATACTTACTTTTAAGAAAACTTGCAGATCCTGAGTCTGAGTGTGCTGTAGAATGTCTTGTTGTAAATGTTTGAATATAGCTATACAGATATACACTTGATAATCAGGACCAAGGAAAACACAAGTAGCAATATAATGGCATATTTCTATCCAATCTAAATAATTCCAAAAACACTGGGTTATCCATTGCAGGCAAATCTTAAAAAAAAAAAAAAAAAAAAAAAGAGTAAGTTCATTTAAAAACTTCTAAAACCACATTTGACTTTTAAAAAAACATTAACCAATAACTCATACAAAAATAATGAAAAGCTTAGCATTTAATTGAAATACAAACACATTCTTCATACATGACTAACAAGGATGCTTCTCCTATTTGCTTCAGTTGCAAAAAAACCTTTCATGGTCTTGGAATTCAGGCCTTAAGGGTAACTGATAATGTTCATATTGCTCATGTACTTATCACTGAATGCCTTCTTTATTCATATTGTCCTCCTCTTACCCAAAACACCAATCTGCTCTCTACAGATAACAAATGCTAGGAGACTATTTTAATTCTGACATGGGAGTTTTTTTCTATCCTACCTACAATCACAGATGTATAATTATGCAGATGACAGATTGCAAAATGTTACATTAATGCAAATGGACTCTTCCTGGATCAGAAAACAATTTAAACCAAACAGAATTACGTAACATAAAAACTGGGACCTAATGCAGAGAATAGTTCAAAAATCAGACTTTTACAAAAATAATTTTTTCCTCTTAATTTTTTGAATAACATTTGTTCAAATTATAAAAGCAATGCATGCCCACGGTGGAAAACAGAAAAGTTTAAGGAAAAAACAATAACAATTAACAGAGATTATAAATATTGGTAACATTTTGATACATCAATGAATACTACCCATAATGGGTAAAGTTGAGTCCCCATCAAAAGATATGTCAGAGCCCTAACCCCTAGAATCTCAGAATCTGACTTTATTTGAAAACAGGGTCTTTACAGACATAATCATGTTAAAATGAGGTCATTATGGTATGCCCTAATCCAATATGACTGGTGTCTTTAAAGGAAGGGGAAATACAGTCACAAAGACAGGCACACAAAAAGAAGGCAATGAAAAGAAACAAATGGAGAACATCATGTGAAGTAGCAATATATATCTGCAAGCCAAGATTCTAAAGGCTTCTAGAAACCAGGAGAGAGGTAAGTAACAGTTCTTTCTTTACCTATGGAGTGAACATAGTCTTGTTTTTTGGTTTGTTTGTTTTTTTGAGACGGAGTTTCGCTCTTGTTACCCAGGCTGGAGTGCAATGGCGCGATCTCGGCTCACCGCAACCTCCGCCTCCTGGGTTCAGGCAATTCTCCTGCCTCAGCCTCCTGAATAGCTGGGATTACAGGCACGCACCACTATGCCCAGCTCATTTTTTGTATTTTTAGTAGAGACGGGGTTTCACCATGTTGACCAGGATGGTCTCGATCTTTTGACCTCGTGATTCACCCGCCTCGGCCTCCCAAAGTGCTGGCATTACAGGCTTGAGCCACCGCGCCCAGCCCATAGTCTTGTTAATACTTTGATTATGGCCTTTGGGCTTCCAGAACGGTGAGAAAATAAATTTCTGTTCTTTTAACCACCGAGTTCATGGTACTTTGTTACTATAGTCATAAGAAACTAACACAATTACTTTCCAATATTTTCATTTTCATTTATGATTTACAAATTACTTTACTTTCAAATAAAGATTCCCCTTACTAAATATCTCTTCTCCTTTAGTTTTATGTTTTTTGGGGATGTGGGGAAGAAAAGGAAAGAGATTTAATGGATTATCTCAACTTCTCATAGGTATAGAGAATACAGAAATATACATTTTCCTTTTGTGTTCCATCATTTTGTTATTCTAAAAATATATTCTTAAATAGGTTCTAACAGTTGTTTTTTAAGTCCTTGATTCAACTTTTTGGCATGCAGATCTTGCTTTTAACTGACTTGAACAAACTAACATGCATTAGTTTGGTAGGGTTGATATAACAAAGAACCACAGGTGGAAGACCTTAAACAATAAAAAATTATTTTTCACTATTCTGGAGAAATCCAAGATCAAGCTGTTGGCAGGGCTGGTTTCTTCTGATGCCCCTCTGAGGCTCATAGATGTCTTTTCCCTATGTCTTCACATGGGCTTCCCTTAGTACATGTCTACGTCCAAATTTCCTCTTTAATAATGACACCAGCCATATTGGATTAGGGTCCAAGTTAATGAACTCATTTTAACTTAATTACTTCTTTAAAGGCCTTATTCAAATATAGTCACTTTCTGAAATACTGGGGTTAGGCCTTCAACAGGTCAGTTTTGGGGAGGCACAATTCAGCCTATACAGGTATTACTGAATTTTTGTTTTCCAGACATTATTACTCATATCAATTATTTACCTTTAATAAGGATACTAATACTGTTCTCAGGTCTGATTTTCCTTTACAACTATAATGTTCCCCTCCTGTCATGTTCCAAAATCTTTCCACAGAGCCCATAAGTTTTAACTCAATATTAAAATACAACATATCTATGAATGCCCAACATTTGTCAACAGGCATTATATATTAAATACTCATTGGTCCTACCTTTACTGTTCACTTTGCATTAACAGGATGCATCTCCCAAATTTCAATATAGAGTGTAGGTTGGCATGCAGAGTACGTTACCAACTCTCCACTGCCACTCACCCCAACAAATCCCTGTAATATGGCTCTAGTGGACAAGGAAGAAATATCTCCTGCTCCCTCTTGACTAGTGAAACTGAAGAAGTCAGTAGTACTTTGACTAGAAGCAATAATTCTCTAATTGCCTGTTGCCCTTCTGCCAAGATTCTCTCTTTGTTCTTTGCTACAGCTATTAATGTCAATCAACTTAAAGCCATGCTGTGTTAATGAAAACCAAGAGTCTCTGGATAGATGAAGAAGGAGAAACCATTCAAGAATGAAAATAAATACAAAAGATCCTCAAAGCTAGAGAAAGCTAGTTTCTCTAGCTTTGAGGATCAAATTCAATTGCTAGTTTCAGGAGTGAATGGCAAGTTGATAAAGATGTGGGGTCTCAGCTTCTGTCCACTATTATACATAGTTTCTAAAGCAGTTGTAATTTTTTGGCATTTATATACATTCAAGCATTATTTCTGTACACTGTATTTTTCCTCCATTAAATGGATATAATACCTATATTTTTCCATCACATGGGAAGTATTGAGGAGGAAAAATGCGAGACTGTAACTGAAAGTACTTTGAAAAAGTGCTATATAAATGTTGTAACAAAGGTACAGATGTTATCATTTAATAAATATTTATTGAGCACCTAATACGTACAAGGTAATATTATCATTTATGTGAACAAAAGACTGTTTCAGAGTTTACACTTAAAGGGGAAACATCCTTTTTAAACATATGACCCTCTTGGCTTGGTAGAAATTATACTGGCTGTTACTCTATTTGCAAGTACTTCAGATTTCCAAAACACCATATCCCTGGCAAAATGCTGAGTCATAGATTTTAATCTCTGGGCAAGTAACTTCTGTATTTTATTTTTTTTTGAGACAGAGTCTCACTTCATCACTTAGACTGGAGTGCAGTGGCGCAATCTCAGCTCACAGCAACCTCTGCCTCCTGGGTTCAGGTGATTCTCATGCCTTAGCGCCTCGAGTAGCTGAGACTACAGATGTGCACCACCACACACAGCTAATTTTTGTATTTTTAGTAGAGATGAGGTTTCACCATGTTGGCCAGGATGGTCTTGATCTCTTGACCTCATGCTCCTCCTAACTCAGCCTCCTGAAATGCTGGAATTACTGGCGTGAGCCACCGTGCCTGGCCCACTTGTGTATTTTTATAATGGTCTGATTATCAACTGATAATCTACAATTCTAATAGGAAGAAGGAATAGTATGTGTCCAAACAGACATGATGTAGTTTTTTAACAATTATTCTGAAATTTTTTCAAACATAGAAAGGAAGGTAGAATAGTACATGAACTAGACAATTTCAAATTTTGATTGACTGATAAGTCTCTTAAGTTACCTTCCCCCTATAAGTGCCCGCCTCCTTTCCTCTGTCCCTTTTTCCTACGAAAGATGTTTCCTCCAACTGCATGTATTCCATTGTAGGCAAACCATAATTTATTCAACCAAGCCCCTATTCATGGACATTTGCACTGTTTCTAGTTTTTTGATATTATAAATAGTACCACTAAAACATATTTGTGCATATGTATTTTCAAATTTTTTCCAGTATATTCCTCAGATAGAGCTCTACAAATGAGATTTCTGGGTTAAAGAGTAAATGGACATGTAATTCTGCCAGAAAATGACAAATTACCGTTTATATGTCTCAAAAATATATTATTATATTTTCAAAACCCATCAGTTGAGTCCTTTTATTCACTGGGAAAAAAGTTATTATCAATAATTATAAAATGGGTTTATAAAGAAAGTGAAAAAAAGCTAATTTTGTTTTGTGGTAAACCAGCATTCCATGCATAGTGTAGAACTAATTACACTTTAAAAGACAACTGAATTACTTTTTAGGCTTGTAAGAAAGGAAAACCACTTGCACAATATGCATTAAAATCTACCACAGCTTTCCTAGGCAATTTTGTTCTTGAACCATACTTAAAGATTATGCCAAAGGACATTAAGATGTCATACTGAAAAGCACGTTATTTTATCTGAGGTGAATTTTTCCTCCTTGTAAATAGAATTAAAAAACAATCTTCAAAGCTCTCATTAGAACATTAAGTCAAAAAAGTTTGGTTGAAACAATTACCTCCAGACCCTGGATTAAGCCAAAATAGGTATGATTTCTAAATGATAAAATTTTCTGATTCAAATACACTATTTTTTAACAAGTCTTCTGGCTTCATTTGCTTTCATCATAGAAAGAGCATCAGTAAAGAGTTAGGAAGAAAACTGACTTTGGAATAAAAGTGGTTTCAAGTCCTTACACTATCTGAATGACCTCCATAAGTCAATTCACTTCATGGATCCTGAATTTCTCCATCTGTTACACAATAAAGGTTTAAATTTTAAACAAAAAAGGAACCACTCTTTATATTATAAAGCAACATGATAAACCTAAGACTGTTTTTGTTGCCCTTCCAGGCAAGACATTGTGTCAGAAACTCAAGCGACCTGAAGTGAGGCACATACATCCATAACTGTAAAGATCTTCAACTAATAAGAGCAAGGTAAAAAAAAATACAAATAATGATTCCACAGAGTAAGACGTGTTTCTACTAAAAGAGGGGCACAGAAGCAGTATACAAACACAAAGCAGAATTATCTACTTGTAGAAGATCCAGAATGCTTCTATTTATACACACATTAAATAATAAGTACCGACAAGCAAAAACAACTCACAGAAAGGGAGGTTTCTTTTCAAGGAGCAACATCCACAATATTAGGAGAGAGAAGGCATACACATTTGTAAAGACACATTTATACATCTGACTCTGAACAAAGGCCATTCCCAGCCTTCATGTCCTGATTAGCATTTGTATAATTTTACATTTTCAAAAAGCATTGTGTCACAAAAAAAAAAGGAAAAGTTTTTTATAATCCTGCTTTTATAATAGGGGGAAAAAACAGCAAATGAGAAAAACCCAGCAGGTGTTTAGCCTTTATATCCAGGGGATTGTCTGAGTTAACCTAATTGTTGACATAGTACAATACAATAATCAATGATATGCAGGATAGTGACTCCAAGGAATTATAAGAGATGAATCATTAAAGATACATGGTACTTCTTAAGCCAGGAAAATGAACAAAATACAGTAAAAACTTTTTTAACAAAAGATAAAATTGGTCAAAAAGTTAATTAGAATACATGATCTTCCATTGCTCATTTTAAAAGAATATATATTCAATTTTCTATTTTCTTCCCAAACTCCGTTACTACTAAAAGAAACTCTACAACAAATATGGATTGCTTACTACATTTAATTTTTTGTACTCTAGTTGAGCTTATTTTTACTTTAGAGATCTGTGTATTTCATTTAGCAATCTGTCCAAAAACCCTTCACTAATCAACCAATCCCTTAATACCTAAAAATACACAACTTCAAAAAGCACTGCTCCTAATTAGATCAAAATGAACAAGCTATGAAACATGAAATTTGTATCCAAATAATTACTTAATCACATATACCTATTTAGTTACTTAAAAACTGTTTTCATATTTTATAATTAGCAATAAAATGGTAAATAATATCAACAGATCAATGATACGACTTCTTAAGGCAGATTAGCTCACACGGGGAGCCATTAAAAGGACATTTGTACATTAAGAGAAAGAATAGCATTACAGTTTCAAAATAATGTAGTGGTTGTTATTAAATAAATCTGCTATCTGTATGCAGTTTCGAATTAACAAAAAATACATATAACTGATAAAGATATATCCTATTACTAGATGAATATTCTCGTTTTAATCACTAAAGTGATAAAGCAGGCCTTGAGGTATTGCAAGGTTTTCCCATAGTCTTGGTCGGTCCAGTTTTAAATTAGAGTATATGTTAGAGATTTATAAATTATTGGATGCTTTACCCATACATTATTGTAGATTAAAAAATACACATTATGCTAATGTAGATTAAAGAGTACATACTAGAGATTTATCAATTATTGGATGCTTTACACATACACTAATGTAGATTTAAAAAAATACACATCACACTTATGTAGATTAGAGAAGCAAAAAGAAACTCGCAGGTACATACTGCTTCCAGTTGAGCTTTTTAGAAGAAAAGAAACAATTGATCATTAACCTTATAGTAAATATTTAAGCAACTGCCTCCCACAAGACTTTAAAAAATTTGTGATTCAAAGTTCTAAAAAGTGTTTTAGATACATATAGCAATAGCAAAAATTGACCAAGGAAGACTATTCCTTTCCATTACATGCAATTCCTTGCTATATTTAAATTTCTTATTAACTTCAAAAGTTAAAAATAGGAAGAATAAGTAAATTTTATAAATGATATAACATCTCGAAAATAAATATAAAAGTTCATACTGTAATGTCAAGAAAAACCACTGTCTAATTAAGAGGGAAAAATCCCGGTAGGATAAATCTAAAAAAATGCAAGGTTAGTTTACCATTAAAAAATCTATTACTGTATCACATAAAAATATCAAACAAGTCCCAAAGTCAAGATAAGCTTAATCATAAAAGATATTGATAAAATTCAACATTATAATTTAAGTGAAAGAAATGAAACCAAATTTAATACTTTAGAAATCAAGACTAGAAAAATGCTTCTATAGCATTGATGTAGAATAATTCTAATAGATGTTACTTAATGATAAGATGCTGGATAATTTCTCAATAATTCAAGTCTAAAACATATAAGCAATTATTACATAGAATTATTTTGAAGAACTAAATAATTTAATATAAATAAACACAAAGTATATTAACATTACAAAGATGGAGAACATAAGTAAATCAACACAAGGCTAGAAAAAATATGACTATAAAAAGATATATCTTTACTAATTATTAACTATTACCAAAGAGAAAATAAAATTGAAACAGAGATCTCAAGCTATATTCACTAGCAATATCTGTAAAGAGAAATGCTCCATATCCATGTGGAAAAAAATACGGTTTTACTAAACATGATACAGAGCAAACAAATGGAAAAGCTTACTATCTTCCTAGATAGGCTCAGTATAATAACATAATTTTTCTCATTTAACATAATAGCAATCTAAGTCTGATCCAAATTTAAACACCCAGTTTAAATTGAGCAAACTCATCTTAAAGTATATGTAGTACACACAGAAATAGATTAATTAGCTTTTTAGAGGGAAGGTGGAAAGTAAATGACAGGCTTATTTTTACTCAACATTAAGACATAATACAAAGTTACAATAAATAAAATATAACTTAGGAATTGAAGAGATTTGGAAAGTTGATGCTATTTTAAAATATCTACAAATCAATAAGAAACACTCTAAGATAGGTGGGGAATTAATGAGATTCAATTAGTTTACAAAATTATGGACATATCATCAAAACTTACTAATGTTCAAAGAAACATAAAATTTTAAAGAGGGTAAACATTTTCACCTATTAAATTAGTGATTAGTTTAGAAAAAGCCAAATACCCAAACATAAAGAATAGACAGTCTTCATTTCTGTTAGGTGAATAAACCAAATTCATTTGATAATATGAGTAATGAGCCTTAGAACTATTAATAGTTATAACTTTAAGTATTTCTGCTCTTGGACAGAAATACTAAAGATTTAATTCTAAAGACAGATGAAGGTTTAAACCCTAAAATATTAATTTTAACCTGATTATAACATAGTGAAGCAACAATGAACACCTCCTCCCACGAACGACTGGCTATGCACAGAAAGGAGGTATCTGTGGCTACTACTATATATGACCACAGAGGTTGTGCACTATGTAACTTGAGGCCCTAGGAAAAAAAAACATTAAGTCTTCCTGGATCTCAAAAGTAGAAACTAAGGCTGAGGCACACAGGTTAATCAGCTGGGATTTTTTGTTAGATAAGACACAGTATCCACAGTTTCACATATATAAGACAATACTGATAAGATTTCTCGCCCTGTTACCTCCGTTAATCACTGGTATTATGAAGTAAGTATTACCATCTCCATTAAAAAGCCTGCATATCATACAGATTTTCAGAAAGTTGATACCCTGAATAGCTGAAATTCTGTGAATACATGAAAGCATTATAAAGCAAACTTATATCATAACAGGCCTAGGGGGGAAAGCCAGTTTGAGGATTTAAATAAACACTTTGATTCATTTAAGTGTAGTTCACTATTTGATGAGAACACAGTTTTATTTGAAGACACTGAGATATAGGAGTTGAAGAAATGCTACTCCCTTATGGATTACCTGTGATGGTGCAAAACCAGACATGTGAAAAGCTGAAAACACAAGAGGCAACTCAGTCTTCAGTAGCATTTCAACATAATGGGTACAGCAAAAATACACTGGATGAATGCCAGATTTGACAGTTTCAATAGGTAGGTAACTCTGCATAGAAGAGAAACATTAAATAATGAATATACAGATAATTTAAAATAATACAACATACCTAAATATTTTCCTTTTGCTGTAAATTGCTGCTTCAAAATTAATATGGTGGCATAACAAATTACTGTAAATATTGTAATTATGTAAATTTAACATTCAGAATGCTGAACAGTGTAAAAAGAAGAAATTTTGATAAAGGCAGTTTTATATACCTTCCAAGACTGAGGAATACAATTAATACTTTGTAATTTGGGCAACTTAAATCCTTGAGAAAAGATGAGGAAGGCTGAAAGAATAAATACAGGTATGAGTGAGTACATGAGTAATACTTTGTTTTAATACTAAGTATACTGGAATATACTTAACATTCTCGGCTTTGGCCAATGACTCTAGAATGTCAAAAGATTTTAGCTTTGTCAGCTCTTGAAGATATTTGCATTGTCCCTTTTACTATGTTGATATTAACCTAAATCTGAGTCTGAATTAATAATAATCCAAATTGGGAATGATACAAGAAACTGGTCTCTAAAACTGGGAAAGAAGTGCACAAGGCATTCCTATCAAGATAATTATTTTGTACAAAATTTATGTTTATTTTTGTATTATTTTATATTGATAGTTACCTATATTTATATATAGTACATATGTATGTAAATATATACACATACATATTTATAAACATATTGCTTATTTTTTCAATTTGGTTAAGTACGATTTATCATTGCAAATGATGATCAATAATGTTATACTAGGTATTACTATAAACTCAACATATACCCATAATAATTTGTTTTTTAACAAAGAATAATAAACTGGAAGATAAAATTTTATGTAAAAAAAAACTGTTCAGCTAGCAATTATATCAATTAAAATTATTAATCAAATTAGATCTGAAGATTTAATTAATTAAAAGGCTGTCAAAAAGGCATCTTATCTTCTTGCTTTTATTGGTCAAATCTTATTTTCAAACTTTTTAAATAAAACAAAATTAATATTTTAAATTAAAACCCATAGCAATTATATAGGTTAAAATATGGAAGATTTCTTTAAAGCCTTATTGCTAATACTAGGTGCTTTTAAGCATTTAGGTTTGAGTTATACACTAAAATTTCTGAAATCAGCGAGTTAATTTACAGTGAGTTTTCTGTTTTATCATTCATCATCATAAATAATTTATTATTTCACAGTGCAGAAATATATATTTGTAGAAATATATATATTTATGTAAATGTACATTTATGAAGGGTTCTCCAGGAGATAGCTCACAATACTTGAAAAAATATTATTTTTGTTCATTAATGAATGAGACATAGCACGGTAAACAGACATCTTGTAGCCAACTTTATATTGATATGGACAAAAAGAAAACTTTTTAATGAATCATTAAAATAACAACATGGACTGAATGAGAATTAGTATCCATTGATTTATCTTCTTTTGTGAAATATTGCAATATTTCACTAATATATTAACTAATAAATATTGTAATATTTCACTATTGCGATGTTTCACTAATGGCCATGTGTATAATTAGTAAATCTAATAAGCACATATGAAAACAAAAAATCAACTCATAAATGTATTTTAGCTTTTCGACCCAAACTTAGATAATAACTTTCTGAATACATGTCTAATAGTACAAGATCTATGTATAGGAAATGATTCATCTAGAGTATCATTTCTAGGCTGCATTGGAAATACCTTTAGAGTAGGTCCATTAAGAGATAAAGACAATAGATTTATTAATTACATTTTCAAAGAACATAAGTCATTGTTACGTAAGGGACTCCCTAACTTGAGGTAAGAGTTCTTCTACTCTGAAAAATTAGACTCTGTTGGAAGAAATTTTGCCATACTTTGTGGTAACACAGCTCCTGATACCAAGCCTAGCACAGAATAGTTGCTCAACATATTATTGCCTCAATGACAAAAAGGAAAAGATGCTAATGATGGCACACACAGATTGCACAGTATGCAATCATTAGTGTCTTTTCTTTTTGTCTTAAAGTAAGCTCACTTATATAAAGTTTTATTAGTTGGTCTATTAATTACCATTTCATGCCTCTACTTTAAAATAAACATTGTTCATAAAATCGGATCAATAGTGGCAGCTCTGAGTCAAAAGAATATAACATGAGGTCTTCTGAATCATCAAATGATAACCTGTTTATTACACTTATAGTATTTTGATGTAATTTGTTTAGTCACCACTTTCTGAAAGAACAGTAACTCTTTATCATTCAGAATATAGGATTAATGGAACACATGCGGGACAATAGCATTTAGCATCATCTAATTAATAATCTAATATATAAACTACACTAAGATGAAGTGCAAAAAAAATATTTACAACAACATTGGCTTTGGATAGCCTAGAAAGTGATATAACATGAAGCAAAAACTTTACAATATAACACTATTTAGAATACTGTATGTTACTTTAGTGATTAATAATAAAAAATTTATGCGTAAAAATAAAACATAGCAGTCTTATTTTTTCTTCTATTATAGGTATTTGGATGAGTCATTTTATTCCTGATACTAAGAAAAAAAAAAACTAGTTCTATGTTGCTATGAAAATTAAATAGACCCCATTTAACAAATGTTCTATTTTTAATGGTCCAATCTAGTCCTCCATCTTTGAGACTCTATGGGCAAAGGATAGGCCATGCTTTACAGAGATGTTGTAGTTAACTTGTGCATCATGCACAGGGGCAAATAGAAAATTTTAAAGATTTTTCAAAACTTTGATTCTATAATTCTATATAACATCAATCCCTCTTCTCAGAAAAAAAAATGGGAAAACCGAATCTGCAAATATGATTAAGACTCATAGTCACATATTCACGTTTAAGAAAGGGAAGGGGTTTGACACTAGACCTCTTTCCTACAAATGGTCACATGACTTACTTTTGTTGATGCTCTACAAATAGGTTACAAGTATGTCATGCCATTCTAATGACTGTAAAATTTAAATGTAGATTCATATTTGAATTAACTCCATAAACTTTCTGAACTAGGTAACTGTTATTTCAAGAAGAGAAAGGGAGGGCTTCTGTAGTGGTGACCCTATATTATAACTATCCCATGACCTGGCTGAACTAGACTGCTTCATTTGAGTATTACTTTAGCCTAATTTATCACCAGTGGAGTTCTGTTTGTATGTACATGTAAAATACTCTGGTTTTTATTTCAGTTTAATTAGTTTTCCTTTTTCATATATTTTTACATAGAGAAAATTTATCATCATTACTTCTATTTATTCTTTGAAATTAGGTCTTTCTACCATGGAAATAACTTCCTGATTTTTCATAATATATCATTTTATTAATGGCTTCAATATTAACAACTGGCCAAACTTTGATTCTTGATGAAACTGCATAAAGAGTGACTATTTCATCATTTAGAAAGTTTTTTCTTAGTAGCAAAAAATAATTGAAGACAATTTAATTAAATCAATATATTAAAGGGTTCTTCTGGTGTAAATGACATCACAGAATAATTTTTCAAACTATTTTTATCTCATATGAGTAATATAGTCACAGTTTATAAAATTTTAAGAACTTCAAATTAATGTTTCATTACTTCCTGTTTTGCTTTTCCTAAGCCTTATTTTTTTAAAACCTTTTTAAAGTCGTTTGTTTACAATATTCTTATGAAGGCAGGGGATCTAGTATCTTTCAAAGACATTTTCTAAAGTAATAAAAGCTTCTAGTTCCTTATATTTTTCTATTAAAATATTAACTTACACGTTCAACACACATTTACTGAGTGATTACTATAAGCCATATAGTTTGGGACATACCTATGAACAAAACAGAAAACTCTGTCCTCAAAGAACTTACATGAAGTGTATAGATAAATAAATAAATACATATCAGAACTTAATATAGGCTATAAAAAAGGTGAAAAATACAACAAGGTAATGAGGTTGGGGTACGTGGGATTGAGGAAACAGGTTGTTTTTTTTTTAGGTTGATTGCAATAATGTGAGGTTAGCTAAAGAAGGTAAGCAAGTTTGTACTATCAACAGCTAAAGCCAAAGTGTCTGTCTGTCACCCTGCTGCAGATTTGCTCATTTTATCAAGTTGCATAGAAAACATCACCACAATGTTTAGGCAATGGAACAAATAAAATAGAAAAGGTATCACTTTTAAATAATCTATTAAGACTTACTGAATGCACTATCAAGTCAAGTGACATAGGGAAAAACACCAATTCAAAAGACTGTTACTCAAAAACATGTATAGTTCCATATAGATGTAAGATACTAGAAGCAGCACTTAGCTAACAGTTCCAGATGGATTCCTGCTGAGGAATCTTAACAGCATGCCATTTGTTTTAAAAAGAAGCATCAAAACAAACTACTGGTAATAACACATTAACGTTGATATATTTGTATTTGAAAAGAAAAAATGATGCTATGGAAGGTACTGCGTAAGTCTTCCCTGACAGTATAGCTGCATCAGTAGAAAGGTGTCAAGCTTTACATCAAGAGATCATTCTGAAAACCCTGGACCAGTAATGTGTCACTCCCTTCCACTCATATATTTCCTATTCAGTGATGCTATCAAAATGGTAAGTCAAATAAGTTTCAAGCTGCTAGAGTCCTGCTTGTTTTCAGTTATAAAGACAGAAATGCTAACAGAACACAAGATCATCAATGATGTGAAAAATATAATGTACTATTTAAAGTTTTATAGGCTCAAAGTAGAAATGCAACTTCAGAAAATTATAGGTTAACATAATTCACTGGTGATGTTTAGATGGTGTCATAATATGATCACTAAAGGCAGAACTGTTAAGACTAGTGGAATGTAGATATTACTTTAAAATATCTGACAGAAGAATGATCGGACATAAAATCCATACCCATTATGACAAGATTTTCAACATTATATTTGAAAATAAGAGTGAAAAGGCTGTTTTTTTTTTTTTTTTAATCTTTAAGTACAGTTTAAAGGAATAGAATTACTCAAATTCTTGTTAACAGCAGGAAAAGAGTTCCATTGATTGGAGAAAACCAGTATACACGTTTTTTTTGCCATTTGTTTCCCTCTGTTCATGGGAGGAAAATTTCTCATTATGTGAAGAACAAAAACTAGATGATCTTTTTAAGTAATTGCATATAGCTATTTTGAGCATAACAGTATAACATTTTAATGTTTAATGTATTCTATGATGAATTGATTTTATTTTCTTTATCACAAATACATATTATAAAAAACACCTAAAGAATATTTTCATCTCCACATAGATACACGCCAGTCCCTCAAGTTTATCCTTGACTGCCATATTTCACTGTTCAAAAATGCAACAGGTCATGGAAAATGTTTGAGAAATATTAGCATAGCTGATATTTCTGGCAGTTTCCCCTAGCTGGAGATCTTAACAACAGGCACTAAACAAATAAGTAAAATAAACATAAACATAAACTGACTGAGAGATGTACTTACCTCTAAAGTAACCTAAGAGATTGCATAAGACTAGTAAAATCTTTTAAAATACAATACTTAATAAATACTCAGTATAGATTTCCAAAATGTATATAAAATGAGTGGTTCTCTTCTTCTATAGAAAATAGTTACAGTATCTTCCTATTAAATGATTTTCTTATACTGTAATCAGCCGGAGATTCTAACCAAGCAACAATACAACACACCAATTCAATTGTTCTCTTTATACATGCAGAATTTAACTAATATAACTATAATTTTTATTTCTTTATCATGTTTCTACTTCATGAAAATGCTTCTAACATAAATCTTTCCTTCAGTTACTATTAGGTAAGACACCAAGTATTTGAGAAAATGTCAAATCTATACAAAGAGAATCAGTCAAAAAACAGTCAAGTAGAAAAATGAGTATGATTTATTACAAAGCCCTTCAGAAATAAAATAATATCCCAGTGAATTTAAGAATAATGTTCCTTAAAATTTCAAACCCTCCTTTAAAACAGACTGAAGTCTTACAGAAATATGTAGTCTTGGCAACCAAAGGAAAGCAGAAGTCAGAAGCCTAGAGAACTGATGAAGAAACTGGAATGTTTTTTCTTTGTCTCCCAACATTATCATGAACAGAGAAGACACAAACCAGTCATGGCCAGCATAATTCCCTTGCAGGGAGACTGGAAAACATAGTTAAGAAAACTTTACAATATTTTGTAAGATAAAATATGAAAATTGTGTAAATATTCATTTTCAGGATCTCTATCAGGAAAGAGATACTACTTAGTCCTTATCTCTTCAATCAACATACGAGCCACAGAAGTAAAATTAAGCTTTGTTAATGAAAATGAAATCACTTACATAATTACTATCTTAGTATACCACTTGCCTACATAGCCAGCGGAGGTCAAAAACAAAGTTATTTTTTGAATAATAAACTCTGCATTTAATGTACACAAAATAGTTGGTTGTTAAATTAAATACTATTAACCACACATAAGGCAGATAAATTCTAGAAATGCACAAGCGATATATTTCCCTCTAATATACCTCATAGTCATGTTAATGCCAACCTGCTGCACAGATGAAAGACTTTAATTTTTTACATTTACATCAGTAGCTAAAACTTACAAGCTAGGAAAGTAAAACTAAGCTTTGTTAATGAAAATAAATCATTTACATAACTATTTTAATTCACTATTTGCTTACTTTTACAATGGAGGTCAATGGCAATAGCAAATAAAAAGTACTCTTGTGAAAATTCACTTGTTCATATAATTAACACAACAGTACCATTTTTTCTGTAGTTGAGGTTATCTGTTAAATAACCATCATGACCAAGCATAATACATATGACTTTACTCAGTTTAAGATTCAATGAATAAGACTAAATATAATTACAACTCAATTTAATAAAATTCATATTTAAAGTATGGAATAAAATATTGTAAGAATGTATTATAACACACCACTAATATAGCTTTAAGTACTATTCTACTATAAATGTGTCAAGCTATACCATCAAAGAATCATGAAAAATACATGAAAAAAATTAAGCTATTGTGAATCTACTCAAAAAGGATATGAAGAGAAGATTTTATGGAAATTTGCTGCTGTTTCAGGAATCTCTCACAATGCTTTAAAACCCAGGCAAGATCACTTTCTGCCCCAACTTTTAAGAGATTGAGGAATTTGCCATACCTATATCAAAAGTCCACAAAACATAAAAAAAAATCAGGTCTTGCATTGAATGTTTTAAAATTTCTTCTTTGGCATAACTATGTTATATAGAGCACATATAAAAGATTATTTGTCAATATATATTTCTGATGATTACGATATATTTGGATTCACAGTATTCATCTGGCAAATACTGGTAACTTTAAAGGAAGATGAAACAGTGATGAGAAAACAAAATGATATCCTGTAGATGAAAAGCAGAATATAAGCATTTTTTCCTGAAATTGATCTAAAACATGGAATGTTGACAGGATAGTATTACAGAATGTTGAGTCTGGAAGTACCTTTAGTGTTCACACAGTGTAATGGTCCTAAATGGATGTGGTACTTCCCTCAGGAGCCACTTTGGAAATTTTTGGGATTATTTTTGATTGTTATAGTGACTAGCGGTCACTACTGGTACAATGAAGGCCAGATGATTAGACACGGGACAGTCCTGAAGAATAACATGCAAATGTCCTATTTGTTACTGGGTGAAAAAGTTATTTATAATTATCTGAAAGTATTCTGTTTTTATAAAAACTTCTGTATTTTTTAGTATACAGACAATGTAACTCAAATACAGTTCTTTTGTACTATCTTTTCTTTTGTACTTTTGTATTTTTGAAACTTTACTAATACTTGTTCACCATTTTCTAAAAAGTCTTGTTGCCCATGGCAACACTGTGGTATTTGAGGCATGAAAACAAAAATCAGTCTGTATTTGTAGTTGCCAGAGTCACAATGATTTTACATTTGGATGCCAGCTATATCTTACAGTGTAATATATTCAAACATTTCATAATAAATCACTTTCTGTTCATTTCTGACAAATAATATATTATATTGAGTTAAAAAATATGTGACTAGGCTGCTTATATTATCTATGATATCTGTTTAAGAATATCAATAAGGTATTATAGAATATTTGTATAAAAAGCAGGCACAGGATCACAAAACATAATTAAGAGAATCATATGCCCTATGTGATTCAGGCACGTAAGTTCAAATTATTAAATAATGTCATTTTCATCATTATGTGAATCTATAAAACTACTCAGCTGCTTAAACAAGTCTTACATGTATCTTTTTAAAAACTTGATTCTGAAGATGACCCTATAAGTAAAATGGGAATGTTAAGGTTTCCATTTAATAAGCAAAAAAGAGAAGTTTCAGTTTTAACTCTCAGTCCACTGTTTTGCTTATCCATTTCTTTTCAAAATTACAACATGAGTATTAAAAACTGAAACTGCTATAAGTTCATTTTAACTCCTGTATCTGTCCTTCAGGTACTCATCGCCACAGAATTAATCATATTCTAGAAAATAGTATGATTGTGCTATACATGTGCTGATTTTTACAATGTTATTTTTATTTAAAAAAAACAGATAGTCATGAGGGCTTAAAATACTGTAATTGGCCTCTGGAATAACAATGAACTGTAAGTGATTTACCTATAGAGGTAATTTAATCATGTGCCAATATCCTCAAAAACAAAGTCATTTTCTGAATGATGAACTCTGCATTTATAAGTATACAAAATAGTTGGCTATTAAATTAAATACTACTGAGTACATATCAGGCAGATAAAACAAATTCTAGAAACGTATAAGAGAGACATTTCCCTATAATATACCTGACAGTCATTTTAATGCCAAGCTGCTGCACAGATGAAAGACTTTCATTCTTCACATTTGCATCAGTAGCTAAAAAAAATAGAACACTGAGTTATAAAAGTATATAAAAGTTTGCATAATAATCACATTTTAATTGAAAATTGATGAAAGCAATATTTTTACATATTTTAATGTGAATTTTGAAAACACTGATGAATTCATTTTTTTAGGAACTGTCAGTTATATTTTCAAAGGAATTAACAGAAAACTTTTTACAAATAACTTTTTTTCCCATAAAAAGCATTGGAAAGGAAATATAACACAATAGTAGTTTTAAAACAATCTATTTTATTTGGCGGTCAGAATAAAAAAAGCCATTGACCCAAAAAGTGATCTAGAAAAACTACTTTCATCATGCAATGCGTACATAAAACTTTGAATTACAAATATAAAGTATGGTTATTTCCTTCCTGACACTAATGCTTAAATCTTTAAGTAATCAGTGTTCTACTTTTAATGTATGACAAAGTATAAAGGTAGGGTGAATGAGTTTCCTCCTGCAGGCCAAGTTTTCTTTGTGAAGTAGTAGGTGTAATCATCTAACCAAAAGTGAAGAAGGGGTTAGTTATATTTTATACTGTAATATATCCAAACATTTCATAAGGAATCACTTTTCATTTATTTCTTATAAATAAGATAGTGACTAGCTTGCCCATATTATCTACAAAGTCCATTTCAGAATAGAAATAGTATAGTACAGAGGACTGAAGGAAAGGCTGAAAGTCTGGATTAGTTTTTGAGAACACTAGAAGACAAAATTAACAGTGAACCCTCAAAGGCACAACTAAACAGCATTCAGGGTCTAGGTGAAACTTTCAATTTCTGGCTGAAAAAACTATAGCATGGATACATACACACAAACATATGCACACACAATGCATGCACATGATTAAGAGACTCATCACAAGTTATCTAGCTGTAGAGAAGAGTAAAACCTAAGTTTTCAGAATACCATGAGCTTTGTTTTTCTTCGTTACACTTTGGTGTATCTCATACTATCAATATAATCTATTTCACTTCTAGGGTCATTCGTCCCCTTAATAAATCATCTCTGATATAGTAAGTGTGAAACACCATGCCAGAAGCTATCAGGTATAAAAGATAAATCATACCTCATTTCCTAAAAAACTTTCCATGTAGTATCAGAGATCAAATGTGTATATAGATAATTCTGATAAAGATACTTTAAAGCCCAATATGAAATAGGAATGATACAGATAAAGTATTACATGAATTCAGAAGATGAAGAGATTATGTCTAGTTGGTGAGAAAGAAGTGCCACTTAAGCTGAACCTTAACATATATTGATCTGCATGCTTATAGTAACACTAATATTTTTTGCCTTCTGGAAAGCACAGTAATAGACAGCTGTCTTAATGGTAAAGGATGAGTGTGCAGTGGGTAGAGAAAGGTGCCAAGAATGGGCATTCCCATCATCATGTGTTCCACAGATCACAGTGGCTTCTATCAGGAAGCACTGACCTAACACATCAGTGAAGAATGTAATGAAGTTATGGAGCAAGGTGAGGGGAGTTGTCCAAAGGAACTGAACGTGTTAAATAAGGAGCAGGTTCTTTTCGTTCTTCCCTGTGAAAGAAAAGAGTTCTTATGTAGAGGTCTAGTTGTGAGGCCTGAGATGAGTCCCTTAGCTTTTCTAGAGTTCTACAAATACTTTCCAAGATCTAGACCCTCTCTAAAAGTTTATGACACTGTATCTTCAGAATAAAAAATTAACTCAGCACACTTCAACAGATAATGGTTCTCAATTATGATGGTGCATCTTCCAAGGAACTTTTTAAAGGTAAAGATAAATAGGCTTGACTCCAGACTACTAAATAAGATTGCCAAGAGTGAATGTCCAGTCATTTGTATTTTTAAAGCCATCTACAGCTTATTTCTTATACACTAAAGTTGAGATTTACATTTAAAACAATAACAGTTAAATTTAGACATAGTTACAATTGGACAGTTATACACCACTATCCAAATTTCACTCTAATGAAGTGTAGCAAATTCTCAAAAAGGCTTTTAAATTTTGGCATACCAAAACAAACATCAAATATTCATTTTAAAAAACTACTGATGTGAAAGAGAAGTAAATAATTTTAGTATGAATAAAACTACGCAGATAAAAATATGGAAGAAATAAAAACTTTCTCAATGCAGGAATGAAGACATCAGAAAACGATTTAGGGCCATTATATTTAAAGGGGCTTCAGGCCTGGTGTGGTGGCTCCCAGCACTTTTGGAAGCAGAGGGGAATGGATTATCTGAGGTCAGGAGTTGGAGACCACACTAACATGGTGAAACCCCGTCTCTACTAAAAACGCAAAAATTAGCTGGGTGTGGTAGCACACGCCTGTAATCCCAGCTACTCGGGAGGCTGAGGCAGGAGATACACTCAAATCTGGAAGGCAGAGGTTGCAGTGAGCCACGATCATGCCACTGAACTCCAGCCTGCGTGACAGAGTGAGAGTCCATCTCAAAAGAAAAAAAAAGAGGTTTCCATTTTAAATTTGTATTATATTTGATATACAATATCATCAGTATATCAATGTATATGACTGATATACAATGATAGCAAGCAAATTTTGTAATCCAAAGACATCTTAGACAACAAAAGTTAGGTGAAATAAACTTTTATTATATACAGCTCTGGACTACATGTAACTTACAAGGCAGGAATTGAAATCTCAAAACTAAAACAAAATTGATGGGGGAAAAATGAATAAGTAAAAATAAATAGTTAAAAATGGATGTCTTCAGAGAATTCTGATGTATATGCTTGGCTGGTAACCAGTGATTTACTGATATAGGTAAAACTATGTGGGATATGTAATACATACCTAAGAAGCAATGAGTGAATGAATAAACCAACATCCAATGAATAGCAACAAAATAAATTGTACTTTTAATATCAAACTAGAAGCAAAGTAGAGAATAAAATAGACATCGACACAAAAATATTTTCTGTATATTGAAATCAAGTAACCCATAGAAGAGATAGCTCCCATTCCCTAAAGTCACTGTGAAACGCATAATAAAATACATTGTTGAAGAGTCAATCAACCGATGGCATGTCTAGCATCACACTTACCCACTTACTAACAATGCTTAATTCAGACTATCTTTTAAATAATAATTAACTCTCTAAGAGAGTTATTCTAAGAGAGAGTTATTATTCAAAATAACCAATAATTTTAATTATATATGCAATAGTTTCAAAATAAAATGAGTTGACAAAATTTATGTAACATGAACTGAGATCACTCAGTGTGGTAATGCATTATGTTCTATTTTTGGTTTGCAAAGCTAGCACATACAGCAGCAGTAGAAGAAATTAAATCTATTCTGCCTGGCACTTGGCTAATAGTGTGGAAAAAAAATAAATTTTAAGAAGAGTAAAGAATTTCTCCACTGGAAGACAAATCCATGGATGGAGAGGCAGTTCCTGCTTGGTTGCTTACCGATTTTCCTAATGCACTGCCATATGTGTCCAAACATCAGAAAACTCCTACTATCCAAAGAAATCAGTGGACTACATTTCTTCCTCCCTCCTTCCTTTCCCAGTCAGTCTGTAAGTTCTGTTGCTTCTTTTCTAATAGGTGGTTGTATCCATGCATTTTATTCAGTTCTTACTACCACAGAATTCAATACCTTGTGACCAGGCTACTGTACTCATCTCAGTCTCTTAATTGGTATAGTCAGGGTTATTTGGGGGGGAAAAAAAGCATTTCCATGTCTTGATTATGCAATTACCCTTGCCTGGAAGACTTTTCCCCTCTTCTCTTGTTTCTTTCCGTTCTAATAACCCAGGAGGCAGCACAAGTAACACTCCTGCTCTCTATTAATGCTTACTCCTCTTATCTTCCATGATGGCAGTAATTTGACACTGAAGTCCTTGTCTGCAGGACACCTGGGGCCCTTAAAATACAATCTGTCACTGACAATAACCAAATTCAAATAGCAATTTAAAAAGCACATTGCCTGAAACCCAGTAGCCAGCTGAAAAACTATCAGTTTCTTTCATTTTCTACCTTACTATATGCTGCAATTTGTTTAATCCTAATTATAGGTATATGCCCTATTTTTCGTTCCTGAGGAAAGGTTCATATTATTTCTCTTTGCAATTATCATGCACTGTGCTTTACTCATAAACGTTTCATAAACACAAGATAGAAGAGAGCATCTTTGCTTAACATTTCAAAGAAAGTTTAAAAGGTGTTTAAGTGTATTTAATAAAATTTAAAACTATATTTTAATAATCAAAAGGTGAAACAAGCAAAATGTTGATATTTTTTCTAACCTTTTGATTAACTAGCATCACAAAGAGAAAAGAAATAAAAATACATACTGCCCTGAAAGGGCCACTTAATTTATCATTGCAAAGAAGCAATTACACTGGAAAAAACTTCCTAACTTGTTCCAGGAAATTGAACCAACAAAAAGGAAATGCCTGTTAAGATATGGAAAGATAAACTGTATGGATTTACAAACTGCAAATGTGCAAAATTTTATCTGTTTGTTCTTTCCTTTTTCTTTAAAGGGATAAACAGCCAAACTAATTTGATTTTTCCAGATTTGCAAATTTTATAATGGATTAAAATCCTGAGGGAGCTTACAACAGATGGATGATTGTGTTATTCTAATTTCAACTACCTTAGGGTTTAGAAGGCTGTCATTTTTTAAAAGATAATCAATTTCTCATTTCCGGAAACATGAAAAACATTGAATACATTTACCCAGTATTTGTTTTAAAACATTTGATGTCAAAACAATTTTTAATTTAAAGCAAATAGAGAGAAATTTTATAATTAAAAAATCACTGTTCCACTAGCCAAAAAATACATGATAAAGGATGAGGATATCTAAAACTCTGGGAAGAAAACAATGAACTAGCAACAAGCTCACTATAGCACAATAATGAATATTAATCAGCCAACAGAAAGTCACTTCATTTTTTGGCTTTACCATAAGACTGGTGAATAGCTGTTCAGCTGGAACCCTTAAGGAATTTAAATCCACATTCC